ATTAGCAGGATTGCGTGTTAGCACCGATCTCGCACAGCTACAAGCGCATGCTAGGGGTTGACAGGGAAGCGTTACAGCTGTTTCAGAAAAATGACCCTAGTATAGCGGTTACGAACAATGAAAACAGCGAAGGGTTATCGTCAAGAGACATCTCTTTCTAAATGAGGAACGGTATTTTGTATTGTAAATGCCAAGATAGGCGAGGACAATTTCGCGATCAATCGGTGGTGCCGTCACCATATCACAAGGACCTACTCAGTCTTTGTTACGATCACTCATGTGCAGGACACCTGAGCACAAATAAAACCAAGAAGATTGCTACAGGTAGTTTATTGGCTGGGGTGTTTCAGGGAGGTGCAAAATTTCGTGAAGACTTGTGACGCTTGCCAGAGAGACGGTAGGTCTAACAGGAAATGAAAGGCACCGATGGTAAACGTGCCCATTATTTCTGAGCCCTTCCGCCGAGTTGTTGTGTATTTGGTGGGGCCATTAGCGAAAACAAGGGCCGGAAACAGAGGCATTCTCACACTATTGTGTCCTGCAACGAAGTTCCCCGAAGCGGTACCCTTACAGAAGGCAACTTCGGTCGAGGTAGTCGATGCTCTACTTTCCATATTTTCGCGCCTCGGTTACGCTGCAGAAATGCAATCAGATCACTTAACAGTGTTCACGAGCGCTCTCACGACAACGTTTCTCGAGAAGTGTGGCGTTAAAATTTTGCATAGTTCGGTTTATCACCGACAAAGCAGCAGTGTGAAGATACAGCATGCTACCCTCAAAAAAGGTTTGTGAGCGGTTTGCCATGAAATGAAGTGTGATTGGGACCGTTGCTTACCGCGCACGTTATTTGCGTTGCGCACAGTGCTGCACGAGGGAACCAGGTCTGCACCAGTAGAGCTGCTGTACGGTCGTAATCTTCGAGGTCCCCTGAAGCTAGTGCGCGAACTGTGGGAGGGTTATCGGGGGCATAAAAGTGTGATCGAGTATGTGTTGAATCAAATGCAAAGGTTACACACGCGTCATAAAATCATGAAAATCAAGCTAGAGGCAAAGCAAGACGCTTCAAAGCGCTACTATAATGCTACTATAATAGAAATGCTCGGGTGCGATCATTCAACACTGGCGACAAAGTGCTGATCTTGAGGCCAAATCGCCAGAATAAACTGGTCACTGGGATGGACCTGCCTAGGTTATCCGTCGCCTTTTGGAAGTTAACTACACCATGAGATTACCCGGAAGAAAACGTGAAGACAGGGTCTACCACGTAAAACTAATGAAGCCATTTTTATAGAGAGCAGCAATTGTTACCATTGCCATGAATGTTTCAGAAGAGGTTTCTCTAGAGGTACCTTGTTTTCGTGGGAACAAGGTCCCTAGAGTCGAAGAGATAATCACGTGTGCAGTCAACTAAGACGAGTTGGGTACAGATAAAGTGGAGAAATCGGAGAGCCTTATTCAGGAATATCTGGAATGTTTTTGGGAAAGGCTCGGAAAGACTCATTTGGTACAACATGATATCGAGCTGACTACGGAGGTCCCTTTTAGTTCGAAGACCTACCGCGTATCTCCACGACAGCTGGACCTAATGAAGGCGGAAGTTAAAAAGATGCTTCATCTTGGCGTGATCAAAAAAGCATATAGTGCCTTTTGTTCCCCTTTGATGTTTGTTGAGGTGCTGGAAAAAAAAACACGGCCATGCGTCGATTATCGCAGGTTAAATGTGATTACAAAAGATCAGGTGTACTTCTTGCCTGACATAGAGGAAAGGGTGGAGCTTGTAAGCTGGGCTACCTTCATTTCAACCATAGATTTATAGAGGGGATCTTGGCAGGTGCCTTTAACTGAACGAGCAAGTCGGCATGCAGCTTTTACAACACCATTTGGCGTTTATCGGCCATCATCATGACCTTTGGTTTGAAAAACGCACCCTTATGTTTTTTCAAGGTTTATGAATCGAGTGCTAAAAGGACTAGAAGAATTTTCGGCGCCATGTCTGGAAGACATGGCCGTATTTTCTAATGATTGGGAGTCGCATTTGCAGCATACTCAAACGGTGGTTGAAATGATCAAAAAGGCGGGCCTGACAATTAATGCCGAGAAGTATCTGTTCGGCCAAGTCCATATCACGTGTTCGGGACACGAAATAGGACACGGAAAACTGGAACCAATGAAGGCCAAAGAAGCGGCGATAGTCAACTTCCGAAGACCCGTAAACAAAAGGGAGGTGCGAACATTTCTAGGAATGGCAGGCTATTATCAGCACTACATTCCAAATTATTCAGAGCTTGCCAGCATGATAACCGACAGCTCCGAAAACATGAATTGAAAGTGGTAACTTGGAGTACCGGGAGGGAGGAGGATTTCCAAAACTTGAAGAAAGCTTGGTCTTCTCGGCCTGTTTTTGTCGCGCCAGATATTAGCCGAGAATTCATTCTCCAATGCGACGCCAGCAACCGAGCTCTAGGTGTCATCTTGGCCCAACTTAACGAGGGAGGTGAAGAACATCCCGTGCTCTATCTCAGTAGGAAGTTGACTCCCCGAGAAGAAGCTTTGAGCACCTTGGAGAAAGAATGTTTGTCCACTGTGTGGGCCACTCAAAAGCTAGGATGCGATATTCAAGGCACAAAATTCACGGGCTAGACTGAGCGCTGCCCACTTTCATGACTGAAGCAAATGTCCAATAAAAACGGGAGGATGTTGAGCTGGAGCCTCAGACTACAGGAATATAACTTCGAGGTCAAATATAGTGTATGCTCAATAAATAAATTATAAATAATTTAATACAAAAAGAAATTGGGCCTTGGAGAGGAAGAGATAGAGATGGTAGCGCCAGAAGGAAAGGCAATCCCAGTAGAGGCCAATTTGGGAAGGTTCACTAACCGCAGCACGACTATCTGGCGCGTAATCTTCTATACGCGCTTGGTCCTTGTTTGATTTTCAAGCATTCGGTTTCTGCTCGCGTAACTGGACAGCAGTCAGCTGTTCAGCAATGACAGCTGGCTTGTGGTCAAAACAGAATGGTCAGTTGAAATAGACTGAAGAAGAACGAAACAAATATAGAACGCCTACGAGATTTCGTCCCTGCTGGTCAATGTACGTGACTTGTGACAACATTGACACACTGCTACTTGCTGCCTGCTGGGGGAATCGAGGCTAGCCCGCCGCATTGGAGCTGGTTTTGCCGCCTCGTTCTGCGTTCTCATGACCCGACATGACTCCCCTCCTCCGTGGTCTGCCACTCTGGGAGAGCGGGGAGTGACGTTTAACCACTCTCACCCGGTAGGGGATGTCGACTGTGGCGCCATGCGCAAAGTCTCTCGGGACTTCTCGCGCGCGCACGTCGGAAGTGAGAGAGAACCTCTCCAGGACAACAAGGGGTTAGCACGCATTTCTTTCTCACCATCGGCTCCCTTTGTTTCGGGCTCGTTCAAACTTCTCTTACGGCGCCTTATGCCCGCGGCGAACTCTAGTCTTTTGTCGCCCCCCCCCCCCTTCCGAACGCTAGGAAGAAGAGTGGTGTGGTGGCTTAGCTCGTGGCCAGGCCACGCCGACCCGTGTCTCTCCGAAGTCAACGAGAGCGCCTTTTCCCTCACTGGAGCAACCGGGCCCTTTGTCCCGGTGTCAACGTAGATCACCTTTGCCCACGGATGCGTGCGCGGCACCCTGTGTAGCACTTGTTGCCCGTGTTGTGGATAAGCCCATTTGCTTTCCCACCACGCCTTTTGCAACGGGCACCTGCGTTTTTGGTGTTGCCGCAGACAATAAAATGTAGCGTCCTTGATCAGTGCCAGGCCAGGTTCTTGCCACGGAGACGGTTAACGCGTGCCCTGCGGCTCGCTAAGACCATACCCACGTAAGTGGCCGTACTCCTTCGAGATACGTGTACACTACACTGCACGATTCTGAAGGGTGAGGCGAGACCACTTATATTTTTAGTTTTAGGGGGGCTCTATCGGTCACACTGGACTTCTGCGAACATTGCTATGGAATACCGGAGAATACTCTGCAAGATTATTTCATAAAACATACAATATAGGAGTGCATGCACTTCTTGTTCACTAGCTCAGGAGCGTGATCGGCAGTTTTACGCGCTGAATTTTCAACATGAACGAAGGCATGCCGTAAGGGAGGGCTCCCGAAATTTTGGCCAATCGAGATTATTTGTTGCGAGCCTAAACCCGAGTACACAGACCTCCAGCCTTTTGCCTCCATATAAATGCGAACGCCGCGGCCGGGATCGAAACCACGTTTTTCGTGTCAGCTGTGTATACACTTATTAACAAACTCGAAGAGCTATAGGCATATACATCATACCATCTAGCATAGCAAGAGTAATGGTTACAGGAGTTCAACTGCCGATTCATTCACTACTGAAAAAAGACAGTCAGCTTTTGTGCACCCGTGCAAGTCTGGCCCCTCTTTCTGTTGGAAAGATATGCAAGGAGAGAGTGCTCGCGAGGACTGTGGCGGCCAACACACTCACGTAACGCAAGTGGTGGTTGTTTGCTACACGAAAAGCAAAGGCGCGTTTCACTTGCAGTAGCGCCACATGCACGTTAATTTGATTTTAAATATGTCCCAGGTGTTGATGTTCGGTGATGCGTGTGTGTTAGCACAAGTTATCCACGCTAAAATTTTGAGCCCGTACCTAACTAAGATGAGTCGAAGTGTTCGAACAAGCAATCTCGTCTCATCTCGCGTCTTTCGGTGACAGTGGATTATAAGCGCCAAGCGTTAAGTGTGAGCGAACCGCTAACAATGCATGCGTCACCGGCAATGGGTTTGGTCAACCCTTCTAGGGGGATACCATGCGGGAACACCACAGCATAACTTCTGTGACGAAAAAGGCCAGCCACCCTCCCTTACGCGAGATAATTGCGGCATCTGCCGAATTCAATTTTCAACAGGCTCTCCCACAAAATACTAGAACAGTGGTTTGGCAAGCAGCAGTGACAGGCCATGGCTAAGCTTATTGTCTGGCGGATGAACGAAAGTTGCGCTCACCGGCCGACTTCGATGGTCACTAACGTGGTGGCTCCTCGGGCAGCGGCAACCTTAGCGCACGATGCTGCGTGCTGTGGCCCCTGTCCAGGTTGCAGCAACAGCTCATGCCTGTACTGGCGGATGCAAGTGACGGGCCACACGAGGAAGGGCTCCGGCGCACCCGGTCGCAGCAAGCCGACGCTATGGCCCAGGATCACCAGCTGGAAGTCGCCACGCAGCCCCAGTCGCTCGGAGGCCTCGTTAGGCTGTAGCGTCACAGGGAACCGCTCCCGCGAGAAGAGCACTGCATCGACGCGCGCGCCGCCACCATACACGTCTGTCCGCACTGAATGCCAGCAAATTGCTACGCCAGAAGCAAATTGATGCCAGTGCAAGTGCACTTGCAGCGTGGTACACATACGAACTACGGATCAAGGTCTTGAAGACTTCGTTGCAAGCCAGTTTTATTATTTCAATTATGTACTAAACTAGTTTTTTTTTAATTCTGTGGACAAAAAGTCCACGCAGGGTGAGCAAAATACACAATAAATAACAGAAAACAAGGTTGCAAAGTATTTTTACAAAATTTTTTGGGTTCTAAGACAGAAGATTACGACTTATAAAAAGGAGCAATTAAATAATTTGGCCTTGATACACATCTTAGGAAGTCATTGCACAAATGTATTTGCACAAATGGTCACGGGCATTGGGGGAATGCTTCCGTTATTTCATTCCAATCAGCTGTAGTTTGTGGGAAAAGGAGTACCGAAAAGTGTCAGTCCTTGCGAATATTGGCGTTAGGAAATGAGGATAGTGATGCCGAATAGACATGCTTAACAAGGGAGAAAAATGCTGCTTTGTGTAAGAATAGCCTATGCTTGACAATGTCGGAAAGAAACTCTACGCAACTTTTTCCCCCGAATTTCTATCAATGCACTACCATTTCCAGTTAGCAAGGGAGTGGAGGAGTCGGTTGATTAAAATTTACTGTAAATAAATCGTACTGCTTTCCTTTGAATCATTTCTAGGTTTTGAATGGTAATCTTTGTGTGAGGATCCCGAACTACCGAGGCGTACTCAAGTTTAGGCCTCATTCAGGAAAAGTTTAACAATAAGTGGGGCCAGCCTTGAAATTGTGGGGGAGAAAACATAATTTCCTGAAAGCGGCAAAGCAAATGTTATTTATGTGTAAATTCCAGGATAAGGTACTCATTAACGTTAGGTCTAAGTATTTATAGGAGGCTACCTTAAGCAAAGGAGTTTCAGCTAAATTGTATGTGTAGCTTAGGAGGGCTCACCAGTGCGAGCGCCCGTATAGAATACATGTGCACTTTTTGAACTTCTAGCTCGTCCAAATTTGGTCAGATTTACACGGAGTTTTCGGCACTGTATTGCTTTTTAGGGTATAGAGGAAATGTTGAGGACATATTTTCTACTCAGGTTTTTATTTTTTTACAAACCAGAGGCTAATATCCAGAAAAATTGTACTTCGTATTCTCGTTTTTCTTTGTTGCCTCCTAAAGACGATAGCTGAATTACTGAAATTTTTTCCTCAAGACTTCCTTTCTTTTTCCTTCTTAATTGTCATGGTATAATTTTTACTCAGATCACTTCAGTGGTTCGCATTTTACAGGCTCAAAAAGTGTTGTGTGAGCTTTCTGTGCGTATTTAAAAATCACGCCAAATTCAACAGGCGCAACGTGGCTCCACCCGGTGCTACCTATGATCAGCGATACTACACGGTACCACCAACCACTCATGTGGATGTATTCGTGCGCCGCGGAGAAAAAGAAATCGACGCGCTGACTGCGCTTGAAAGAGTTTTTTTGTGTGTGTGAAGCAGGGGAGGGTTGTAATAATTTCTTTCTTCTCATTTTTGTACTTTCATGCCATCTGCGAAGCGTGCGCCACGCGACAGTGAAGAGGAATGCTGTGTGTGCGCCCCGAACACAAAGCAGCGTTTGGATGAACACTTTCTGAAAGCAGTGTCACCCTAACAGGTTGTCCAGAAATGCTCGGTGCTCAGAGATGATTCTCATCAAAGTAGTTATACCCTGACCGCGCCTAATCGTCGTATTCAGTGGCGCAGGGGCTTGCTGTGGTGGCAAAAATAACTGACGTGGCTCCTGCAGCAGAGAGACTTGTCCGCGTTTGCTCCATTCGGGTGGTCGGGATGACGCAGATTCAATCACAAGCGCGACATCATGAGTGTTTAGAAACTTCATAAAATGGCAAATTAGATGCAATAGCGCAATATATATATATATATATATATATATATATATATATATATATATATATATATATATATATATATATATATATATATTGTGGTAAAGCCTTTGAACAGTGGGTCGTCCTCTTCAGCGCCTTCTAGTGGGTCGCCCTTTTCATAAGAAGAAGAGCAGCTCGCGCAGAGAGTCGATCCCCGCATTGACTGTCACTGTCGTGAATCATCGCTGAGTGTCCGCCAATAAACCGCTTAACAATTTGGTGGAGAGTGCTGAGAGTGCTGTGCCCTTCAAACACCTTCGGTCCGCATTCGATGCCCTTGGAGCTTCGATCCCGTACCGTGCCTCCAACCATGCACCAAGACGCCGCCCAGCAAACGCTTCCTCCTACGCCGACGCCATGTCCCGGTGTCCCCCGCATCCGCGACCCTCCTGTCTTCACCGGAGCGGATGGCACCGACGTCGAGGACTGGCCGGCCATGTACGAACGCGTGAGCGTCCCCAACCATTGGGACGAGGCAGGTAAACTGGGCAACCTGTTTTTTTATCTCGCGGGTGTGGCCGGCATGTGGTACAACAACCACGCATCTGATTTCCCGACATGGTTCGCTTTTAAAACCGCTGTCATCGACGTGTTCGGCCGCCCGGCCGTTCGTAAGCTGCAAGCTGAACAGCGTTTACGTGAACGAGCCCAGCAGACAGGCGAGTCCTTCACAAGTTATATCGAGGACATCCTTGACTTGTGCAAGAAAGTCGACCTGAACATGTCAGAGGCTGACAAAATCACGCATGTTCTAAAAGGCATCGCCGACGATGCCTTCACCATGCTCCCGGCAAAGAACCCCCGCACTGTGGCAGAAGTCATCATGTTATGCCAAAGTTACGACGAGCTGCGGCGGCAGCGCTTGATGACCCGTCGACCACCACCACGTGATGCTGATCTCTCGGCCTTGTCAGCAGTTCCTGACCACGCTACCTTGCTCGCTGAAATCAAGTCGTTCGTGCGTGAGGAAGTTGCCCGCCAGGTCTCTCTACTGGCTTTTGCTTCCCTATAACATGCTCAACAGCCATCAAGTGCACTTCTACCTCCGCTCCGCCGAGCCATTCAGCAGGAAATCGCGGAGGTCGTCCCTGAATACCACCAGCCGCCTCCTGCATCTGTGCCACTCAGCTACGCCCAAGTTGTTGCAGGCCGCGCCCACCGATTTCTGCGACTGTTCCCCTAAATTACACCGAAACCGTCGCGAGGCCCCAGGCCTTTGAAGAAACTGTCTTGCCTACATACGCCGGCGTCACCCACGTGCCCCGAGTGCCACCTACCATGCACTCATATCAGCAGCCGGCTCGCCCATCGCGTTCTGCGACATGGATGCGACCCGCAAACCAATGGCGCACTGCTGACAATCGCCCCATCTGCTTTGCTTGTGGTTGCGTCGGTCATGTAGCACGCTATTGCAATCGTGTGCAGCAACCGCAGGTCGCCTCCAACTTTCCCAGCCAGTCAAGCCGCTCTTATGACCAACCGCCGCCTATGTCACCGTCGTCCCGCCCCGTTCCGTCTACCCGCCGTTCACCATCTCCACGACGTCGCTCACTGTCGCCAATGCGGCCACGTCCACTCGAGGGCGACCAGGAAAACTAGTCGTCGCAGTCCACGAGGCAAGGGCTGCGACGCTGTCGAACTGCGGAAGCCCTCAGGAAAGCCCGTCGAACGTGATAGACGTGCTTGTGGATGGCGTTCGTGCATCTGCCCTTGTAGATACTGGAGCCGCCGTATCCGTGATGGACGAAAAACTTAGCCGATTACTGCACAAAGTGACCACGCCGCTTTGTGGGCTCTCCCTCCGTACAGCCAGCGCCCAAAGTATTCACCCTACGGCGATGTGCACAGCCCGCCTTATGATTCAGGACGTGATGTATGCGGTCGAATTCATCATAATTTCTTCATGCTCTCACGACGTCATCCTAGGATGGGATTTTCTCTCCCGCCACGACGCCGTCATTCACTGCGCACCAGCAGAAATAGAACTCACGCCATTCTCTTCTTTGACGGCGGCCGACAGTCCATCCGCTGCAAGCAAGGTACTTGTCAGAGACGACACTCAAGTGCCTGCAAACTCCTCCGTTGCGGTGTCGCTCTACTGCGCAAGCCTTTCTGACACCGCTGCACTCCTCTCGCCATCTCATCGCGTTTTCATAGGAAAAAGTTTGCTGGTTCCTTTCGCGACCGTGCAACTCACTCACGGCAGCACCACTATTTTCGTTGTGAACTCATCTCCGTACAGCGTTACGTTGGTGCGAGGGGAATGTCTCGGCAGCGTGGAACCCATCGAAGACACGCAAGTTATAGATATACCCGATGACGTGCACTGCTCAAGTTCCTGTACGCTTGGTGCTGTTTCGACATCTGCTTCATCATCCGATGATATATTCGGTCCCTGCTTACCCGACGACCTTACGCAGGGCCAGCGTTCTCAGCTTTTGGGCCTGTTGGAAGAATTCCGCTCTTCTTTCGATGTCGCTCAACCTTCTCTCGGCCGCACATCCACCGTTACGCATCGCATCGACACAGGCGCACAGCCACCGCTGCGGCAACGTCCATATCGCGTATCTCCCACAGAACGACGTGTAATCAATGAGCAAGTCGACGACATGCTTCGCCGCGATGTTATTCGCCCCTCCAGCAGCCCCTGGGCATCTCCTGTCGTTCTCATCACGAAGAAGAACGGTTCTGTGCGGTTCTGTGTGGACTACCGACGCCTCAACAAGATCACTCGTAAGTACGTGTATCCACTACCACGGCTAGATGACGCGATTGACAGCCTGCAAGGAACAGAATTCTTTTCATCCCTCGATTTGCGCTCAGGGTACTGGCAAGTACCTATGGCTGAGGACGCTCGACCGAAGACCGCTTTTTTCACCCCCGACGGCTTGTACGAGTTCAACGTTATGACGTTTGGGCTGTGCAATGCGCCCGCCACCATTGAGCGCATGATGGATACAGTTCTGCGTGACCTGAAATGGCACACGTGCCTGTGCTACCTCGATGACGTCGTTGTTTTCGCTCCTGACTTCTCGACGCATCTCCAACGCCTTCGGCATGATTTAACGCGTC